CTAGGTGGCGCTCGCACTCGCCATCCCAGCTTCACTGCCAGCCTTGCGCTGCTTCCTCCTTTTCGGTGTGCCAGCCCATCGGCAAGATGAAGGTGAGCATTAGGCCCTTTTATCTTTATATTTTCTCTTCATTTTCCGACTCCTCAGCCCAAAAAATTGTTGTGAAGTCGAAGGAAGCCATTCGAAAATCATTTTAAATCTAAAGGCTTGAGCTAATGTTTTCCATTGACGTTTTCCATTCTTCCGTGCCTCGTGGAGGCCTAGGCCTAACGTTAGACCTAACGTTAGCCTCAAATATGCATTGTCCTCTTATTGTACCAAATAAATTAGGCTAAGTTTGCCCCCTGGAATTAACGCTACAGCTAGAAGTTAAGTTTGGCCTAGGGTTAAGTGAAATGGGGAGATTAGTTAGTTCCCGAGTACGTGAAGGATTGTCAAATGAGGCCGTGGTCAACAGGACGGAATTGGGAACGGCTTTTATGTTGGTCCAACTTTCGTCACTCCTGGATACTTTCTTCAAAGGTTTCCATAGTAGCCAAAGTTAAGTTAGATGTGGTAGGGATTCTCTTTGCAAGGAATTTATATATTCAAGTCAACCTAATTTCTACCATAGTCACATCAGGGTGTAGCAAATGTAGCACCTGTGCCCTCTCATCCTTCCACCAGACATACTCTTACAAGAAAAGTGAAACAGGTTAAAAAGGTGCATATCATGCTTCCTTTGGACGGTTGTAGGCTCTTGGCATAGACATGCTGAGGCCGGCCTTTTCAAGTCACTAAACTTGGATCTTGTCAGTTAATGGAATTCGACTGGATTGAGTACTGCAAACAGGTTGTAAGAAGGGGAGGTAGGAAGCTGGGAGAGAGGTGTTCTTCCTGAGAGAAGAGGCCCTATTGCCACATTTGGAAATCTATGCAGTCTTGCAAAATTTACATGGATGTCCTACCCCTCCCACCTGTATGCGATGAGCCTTACAGGTGGTGTTCCCCCCTTTTCCCATTCATCTACCCATAGGAAGGAATGAAGATCTCCCTACCCAAAAGACTTTGTTATATCCTCTACAGTGCTCCCTTCAAGCCTTGTATCATCTTCCCCTATATGACAATGACATTTTCAGGTTGATGTGACTAGTATGCAGCAGCACATGTACACTTTAACATTGGTGATGCATAGATCCATGCCATCTATGCATATGGTCAACTTGTATTCTGAAGGCATAAATTTGCTTTCATTTAGCATCACCATCACCCACAAAAGGAACACTAGCTACCGTAGGCATTGGATTGCAAATGAAATTAACCTAGACTAGGACCCATCTCTGATTCAATATCATGGTTTTGAAAATGGACCCTTTGCAATGGCCTGGCTGCCTCTTATTGAGATCTACAATCCTGTCTGTGCTGCCAGTTTGATTGGCAATCCTGTTCATGATGGTATCATAGGCCATCTTGAAACACCCTCGGCCAGACTCAGATGATTACGCCTAGCAAATAGAGCATTGCGTCCCTTTTTGCATTATTTTGATGTACCGAATACCTATTTCAGAGGTTGTGACCCTGTTGTTGGCTGGTATAATTTATTGAGCGATAATTCATTCTTTGATTCCTTCATTCTCTCAGTCAAAGCATGATTACAGTTCATGATGTTGATGATTACAACAATCATTTTTCTAGAAATTTGTTAACTTCTTATGAGAAGAATATGTTCTTTGAATTCTTGTTTTTATTTATTTGGAGCCAAAGAGTGTATTTGTAGAAATCAGGATAGCTGTGATTGTCATGCCACCATTCTAAATTGGTTGTCTATTTATTTTCCATAGCTGAACGTTTCATATCCAGCGACTGGCACGCAGAAGCTATTTGAGATTGACGATGAGCGGAAGGTGCGAGTCTTCTATGAGAAGCGTATGGGCCAGGAAGTGGAAGCTGACCCACTTGGAGAAGAATGGAAGGGTTATGTGGTGAGAGTTGCTGGTGGAAATGACAAGCAAGGCTTCCCCATGAAGCAGGTTGGTTATGTTACTACTATAGTGAAGCTTTTTGGAGCAGCAAGGCCCAAAATACTGAAGTGCACTACCTCATGCATTTTAGTTCAGTTCTTTCTTTTTGATTTGTTAATCCTAATCATCACTGGTTTGTACATTGCTTGAACCAGGATAATCAATGAAGAACTCCTTATGGGATAATCAAAGTTTTATTACTGAAACTGTCTAACTGGGAGTGACTCATCATGATTATAATTTGTCCAATCCTTGCATGTCTTGAGCTTTTGCCCTCATGTTTTTTTATTGCCTTTAATGCACTGCTAATATTAGAAATTCAGTTAATTGTATGTCCAAATATCAGGATGAAAATATGCATATAAAAACAACTTTTCAAACTTGATATCTTACCACTCTCATGATAATACATTT